TACTCTGTGTGTATTGCTAATATTGTAAATGGGTTTTGTGGTTGACCTACAGTTTAGAAAAATTTGTTACTGAATGCTTACTAAACTTGGACAGACTTATCAAGTATTAATATCAGGGCCACTCTTGGTGACTCTAGTGACACCATTAGTAAGGCTTATCAAAAGACAGGCTGCAGCAAAGTCACCCATAAAAACATGTAAAACACCTTAATCTCTGAATCATCTCTCGGAGACCAAAGACTTGTCATATAAAGGGTTAACTGAAAAAGGAAAGATTTTATTAAGTTGAAAATGTCTGTATCCTGCCATTTTTTCATAGAAAATCAGTTTTTCCATTAACAATTACCAAATAAAATGTCGCATAATAGAAAAGTATGTATGTCCCCTTGATTATAATGAAAAGTTCAGTGGATGTTACAAATAAAAAGTGAAATTTGAAGATTTAGAATAAAACTCTATTTCTGGACTTCACATAAGCAAAATATTGCAGTGTGGTGTGTGTATTTTAGACAGTAAAGAATATCACAACATACTGTTACTTCTTTTAATTTAATAATATATATTATATATAATATATCCATGTGCAGATACACTTAATGTTTGCTATATATCCTTCCAAATTGTTCTGAATCCTCTGTATTTTAAAACTGAAAAAAGAAATGCTTAACAATCCCTAGAAAACCCATGTTGTCTTCAAACACGTGTTGCACTGTTCTGTGGCAGACAAGAGATGCATACTTTGTAGCTCCAGTAATAGATTCACTGGTAAACACTCAGTATAATAAGCCTTGTAAGAACTGGAATAATTCGGACTGGAGAGATGGCTCAATGATTAAGAGCACTGACTGCTCTTCCAGAGGGTCCTGAGTTCAATTCCCAGCAACAACATGATGTCTCACAACAACCTGTAATAAAATCTGGTGCCGTCTTCTGGCCTGCAGGGACACATAATTCATCTTGTGTTTGCATAGTTTGTAAGGTACAGTGTGACTGTGTATTGTAGTGTTATGGTTTTTTTTCTTAAGTCCTATTATCTTCTATTGACAGTAGCAGTATTCAGTACTGGTTTGTGAAACAAGAGGATGGGAGAGTGGGCTTTTCTTTTTCCCATTTCTTTGCTGTTTTATTTTGGTAGAGTAGGAGTGGTACCCTCCTTATCAAGAGTGTTCTGGCATCGGAGGTCAAGTCAGAAGAGTGAAGGATTCCAGTACATCCTAGAGTAGACAGGGTTTTACAGATGGGAGCTGCAGAGAGTCAGATCCAGAAAAATTCTTGCTGGCATAACAATTTAAATCATATCTGTTAACTCTGTTAAATATAGCTTAATGTTTGATTGATGTAACCTTTGAGTTTTAATTTCCTGTTGCTTCTTTTCTGTATGAAAGTAGGTATAGTTATCTTTACCTACTATTTAAACTATCATCTCTCTACATTAAGTGGATAGTATGGACTCTGCAGTTTTTTCCTAACATATTTATGGAGATTTAACTTTATTTGGGGGCATGTGTTGGAAGGTTTTGTGACCATCACTTCAGAGTATGGCTTTGCGTAGAAAAAAGAGAGATGGATAGAAGAGGTTAGTAGAAATAAAGAAAAGTCAGGGGCCTCGCCCCTTCGGAAACAGTTTATTCTCTACCTGTACTCATGTTTCCTAGTTTTACTTTTGAATTTCATGATGCACTCTCGGAGGTTTGGGAGAAGCTTTAATATCTTCATATAACCAAGGTTCTTTGCCTTTCTCTCCCACTCATCAGCCTCAGTAAGAATATTCTATCCACCATCTGAGGAAGGTGTTAGGTAACTCCCCTTTTGGGGGTGTGTGTTGACTGCCTCTCTCCATTCAATTGATCAGACTGAGAGTTCGCCTCTCAGTCCACACTTTATCCGAAACTGAAGCTACCGAATGCTGATGAAAACAGGTTGTTACTTAGTTCCAGTAGCGTTGCCCCTCTTACCGACTCTTCTCTTCGTTTGAAGTCTTGGTTGATTTAAAAGAAGCAGGTAGTCACCAGGGTAGGTGAACTGTAGATGCTTGTGTCTTGCTAACCAGTGTAGTTATCTGCTCATTACCTTAAACAACTTGGAGGACAAACTCAGTAGAGTTTAAAATAAAAACATCCAAGATAGGCAAACTACAAATCCAGAAACTTTCTGGAAAAGGAGGATGAAGAGAAAGACAAAATAAGCATACTGTTTAAGGCAGCGTGGAGGCCAGACAGTGGCATACAGGGAGCACTTGCAAAGCAGGAGAACTTTCGAGGAAGAGTAAGGAAGCCCAGAGAGCGCGTTTAAGTTCTGGCCAGCATCTGAAAGAAACAGACAGGGAAAGGAAAGGTTACACCTTTCGTAGGACACAGAAAGGCAGTTTCCATGTTCAAGTCCAGTTGAAACTTCATGGCTGCTTGGCTTGTGGGGACTCCACTCCGGTGGGGATTCCAAGAAAGAAAATCATAGCATCTCAACAAAGGCAAATTATCCAAGCGATCTTGTTCATAGATGAAGGTGAGTCCACCTTCCAAGGAGTGATCCGTGGACCAGGTGACGCACCCACCAACCAGAATGACACGTGTCCATGCAGACCAGAGATTGTATTATTAACAGATCCTGGCTGGTTCTCTTAGATTCCTCCATGCTGAAGACATAGGTCTGAAATCATTTAAGATCCAGTTAAGGAATTGGAGCCTTAAACACTTCTGGCATCTCTGACATCTGTCTCTTTTTTTTTTTTTTTTTTTTTTGATTTTCGAGACAGGGTTTCTCCATAGCTTTTGGTTCCTGTCCTGGAACTAGCTCTTGTAGACCAGGCTGCGTCTCGAACTCACAGAGATCCACCTGCCTCTGCCTCCCAGTGCTGGGATTAAAGGTGTGCGCCTCCACCACCTGGCTTAAAGATATTTCTTGCATTTAGCCTTTTTTGCAGTTAACATTATTTAAATGCATCTTTAAGTGACTTTGAAATTATTGTTGACTACAGTTATCTTGCCATGAAATCAGGCTGGTTTTATTGGAAACTTTGTATGTGTGTCAGATTCTGTCTTAACTCTGGTTGGAGACAGAGCCAGCAAGGCATTAAGTCAGTTCTTTGTGCACTGAGTTCTCTATTGCTTTGGAACCTTTAAAGATTATTACGATTTCTGTATTGTTTCCTCTAGCATCGGGTTTCCTTTTAGCTGCATCTTTAAAGTAAATATCGTAGTCATTGACTTGAGCACTCTTTTGTTTTTGAATATGCCTATGATGTATTAAAATTTCCCTTTAAATACTGTTTTTGCTGTACTCCACAATTTCTGATAAATTTTCTTGTTTTTTAGTTAAGTTTTGACCCAATTTTCCATGACCTTAAAAAAAATCTATGGATTATTTAGATGTATATTATTTAGTTACTGGGTTACTTAGTGTGCATAATTACAGAGTGTATTGAGAAATGATTTCCAAGTTTGTTTTAGTTGTTAGAGAAGATGTCTTGTGTCTTAGTTACTGTCCTATTGCTGAAGGGAGGCAACATGACCATGACAGCTTAGGAAGTAACTGGGGGCTTGCTCACAGTTTCAGAAGGTTAATCTCTGATCATCGTGGTGGGGTCATGGCAACAGGCAGAGGCATGGTAGCTCTGAGACGGGATAGAGAGAGAGCAAGACTGGGCCTAGCATGGACTTTTGAAACTGACCCTAAGAGACAAATTTCCAACCAAAGACATGCAATCCATAATGAGGGACGTGCTGACCATGAAAGCACCACTCAGAGCTAAGCCCAGTAACAGCTTGAGGTCCTAAGGACACATAGTCCTTGAGACTTTGCCTCTCTAAGGCTCACTCAGGCATGGCTCTGCCAGCCCCCAGTCATGTTCTGTGAGTTCCAGTTGTTGCCTGTTGGACCCTCACATAGCCCCACAGTTCCCCTTCCATATGGTCTCTTAATGTCCATCAGTTGAGCTTAACATTTAGGTTGAAATATTATTTATGTAACTTGCCCTTTAAAACAAATGCCTGTGGTAACTTGTCTGTCAGAGGGTGATAGGTAAATGTTTGTCACATGATGTTTCTAAAGATGGAGTCCTTCAAATGGTTGTCAAAGGACATTTTAAAACCACTTATAGTTTTACTTCAATATATTTGGTTACTTATTATGACTCATACTATAGGTCGTAATTATGTTTCTATCTAATAGAAAAATTTTACTACAGTGTAAAAAACCAAAATAATGAATAAAATATCGAAGTCTACTTCTGCCTCCCCTTCTTCACCCCCCCCCATTTTCCATTTCCTTACTTTCTCTCCACTCTAACCTATCCCTTGCCTTACTTTTCCCTTCCTTCCTTTAAATATGGCCCTGTGTACCATTCTAGCATTATAGTTTTGTGTGATTTTTATAGTTATGTTTTTACACACTGGTGTGCCGCTTCCTTGGTCCCTCAGCTCAGACAGGGAGATAGCATTTTACTATGGCGTGTTGGCACCTCTCCTCTTGCACGTTCTAGTGACATTGTACTTGATGCTTGTTGCATTGCTATGCCCCAGGAAAGGCTGGGCAGACATGAGGCTAAGCAGTGTCACAGAAAGCTGCAAGTCATCATGTTTGCATGCATTAAAAAGCAACTCTTAGGAGTGTGAGGAATGTGGTCCATAGAAGAGGATGCGTTTGAAGGAGAGTGAGAATTGGAAGGTTTTCATGGAAACGTGGAACTCTGATGTACTGTCACACGGCTTTTTTAAGATAGACAGCAACAGTCATGGCTGTGTGGCAGGCACAGAGCATACCTTGTGCATCACTTCCGGGTTGGTGGTGCATTGTTTTGAAGCTGCACTTTCTGAAAGAATTTTGCTACAGTATTGATTTTAATATCTGTCAGTACAGTAACCTTCCTTGAGTCTATTTTGTACCATGTTGCAGTTACAGCTTCTTAGTATGCTGTTGCCTGCACTTCCTTCCTCAGAGGAATTTATAGCAACTGTATTCTTGCATAGATTAACAATTCATCTTTTTCTCTATTTTTGCTGTAGGATAAGAAATGGATTCTCAATCATGAAGATGTTTCATTGGGAGCACTACTGGGCAAGGTATGCAATCAGCTGAGCTAAATAAGACATTTTATATTAACCATGAGCACTTCACATTGCTGTTCAAAGCGTTTTTTAATATTCTGTCACATGTCAAAGTACATATATACTAATTAATCTAGAAGAAGATAGTATCGTATCTCCTAGAAACCTTCTGACTTTCCCTGAGATAGAGGTGTGATGATCTTCGAAAGGCTTACGATGATTCTTATCTTTAACAATAGTGTATATTTTCCCTGGCAGGTCAGAGCCATAGAACTGTTGATTGAAGGAAAGCAGCCGTGAGGCAGTGAAAGTTTCACCGGACCGTCAGTAGTCTCTGCTTTCAGTTGTAGTCAGTAACTCAGAGAAAGGGAAGTGTTGCTTCTTGGACTGTCAGGAAAGTTCATAACCCTGCCATATCCTAACATAAAGATCATGTGGCTGGGAACGTGGTGTAGGGTTAGAGGTGCTTCCCTCAAGCCTGGCCACCTGAGTTCAATACCAGGAGCCTATATGACCTACATGTGTGCTGTGGAACATGTATACTCCCCCACAGGAGAGATGAGGGACGAAGAAGAAATATGTTTGTTTGGGAGAGGTATAAGTTTATCTAAATATTGTGGGCAAGATGTGTCTTTTTTCAAGTACCTATTTTGTAACTGGCTATGTTAGTGGTGGGTAAGGATGAGTCTTACATAGTGAAAGTTCCTTTTCCTGCTATTTTGTTTGAAGTTTCCTCCAAGCCACAGTCCATATTGAAACGCATTCTTTCCAACGATAAAGGCAGTCTAGTCAAATAGACTCGTCACAGATCTGTCAATCATTATTATTCAGGTTCTAGTGAATAAATAATAGTTTGTCAGTGACTTAATTGTAGATATTTCTATGTGAAATTTGAGTTGAGCTTAGCTCCCTGATGCACTGTGAAAAATAAAGCAAAATTTAGATATTGTTATTAGTAAGCTTTTATGTAATTTGTGTGTGATCAGTGCTAGACTCAACTGTCAACTGAGGTTTTAAGTAAGTATTAAATGATCCATTTTTATTCAAAAGTGAACTTGACCATTTCCTCCAGTTTTCAATCAGCATGCAGTTCCTTGCTGAAGTCCTCCCCTTGGTAGGACTCTTAGCACCTGCTGTGTAAGTGCCTTTTCCAAATGGCAGCATCAGGAAACCTGGAAACCAGGAAAACAGGTTTTATTTGCTAATACATTTTAGTAAGTTAATTTTCAAGAACCTAAGCTAAAAGAAGCAGCTCTGCTTACTCTGAGGTGCTCTCCTAATTCAGAAGGATATAATCCTAAATGTGATAACAATTTGCTGGGGTAATTCAATAGCAGCGGTTTGGTCCAAAGTTACTACAAAGAAACTAATTTCCTTGAAAAAACAGTTAAATGATAAATTTCAAAACTAAAACACTGAAGTAGATTATGTTTACAAGGACAGATATTTTTTTTAGTACTAAGCAAAAATATTTTTAATTCAGGAAAATCTTCTAATTTTTTATTTGTTTGTTTTGAGACATGTATGGCCCTGACTGTTCTGGAATTTTCTATGTAACCAGGTTTTTTTTACTAAGGCTATATCATAGAATATTTACTTTTTAATGACTAGGCATGAAAGTCTCAACAAGTTTAAATATTTTAAGGAAAATTCTTTTAAAGAGATATTATTTGGCTTAACTTTAGTGTTTTAAAATACTGGAACATAATTTGTCATTAATATTTTACTACCTTTTTAAAATATATTTTGTATGCTGAGAATGCATGAGTAAAAAGAGAGCCAAACTTTTCAGTAGTAATTGTTAAGTAATGGTAGAAATTAGCTTCTTCATTCAGAACCATAGCCTTAAACCAGAGTTGGCATTTAAGTCATCCCAACACTTACCGTATGCCCGTGATGTATCACACTCTCCTGGGTGCATAGTGTACGTACAACAAGCAGAGAAAATCCCTTGTCTCTATAGTGCTTCTGCTCTGACCAGCAAGGGAAAGACGGGCAACTGTGAAGCACCGAGACAGACACCTTTTATGTCAGAGGGCACTGAGTCCTGAAAAAAGTGGAGTGGCTTGGGGTTGCGTGTTAGTCAGAGTTGCCATTCTTAAAGGGAATAGTCCAGGCATATCTTACTACTGATTACGTTTGAATTAGAACTTGCCGGAACCACCACCAAGCTGTGTGGACAGCTGCCAGTGAGGGTTACACAAAGTGATTAGCCAGTGCAGAACTCACCTGCCGAGGAAAAGACTCAGTTTGGTTGTGATCAAACAAGTAAAGGGAATTATAGGAGGAAGTCAGCAAGGTGAGGAGGACGCACTGGATTCAGGGCCTGCCTGGGTTTCCTAACACCTTTGACTCCCAGCGTGGGTGTGTGTGTGTGGAGCTGGCAGGTGACTTCCTGGAGAGCAGGAATTTACTTTGGGAAGGTGGCTCTGGGCGTTAGGTGAGAACTGCAGTTAGGTGAGTGAAAACAGGTGCTAGGGCGGGGTCGCAGCTGGGAGGAAATAAATTTAGATGCATTATGAAGTTGGACCAGTTGTGTATCTTAAGGGATGTTGTAGGGATTGAGAGAGAGAGAGAGGCCAGCTCTAAGTGGAGCAGGATTCTGGAAACAAAGTTAAAAGTGTGTGACACATCAACTTTATTAGATTTCTACAAGACAGTGAGGAAAGCCAGCTGAGTAACAAGTGCTGAGGTTAAACAAGATGACTATTCCAGATATAAATAGAGTAGTTGGGTGTGGGCCTAGATAGAGAAGAGGGTAAGGACTGAACCCTGGTCATTCCAGCACCAAGAGGCTAGGGGAAGAAAAAGCAGTCCTCAAAGGAAGTTGTAAAAAAAAAGAAAAGAAAAGAAAAGAAAAAGGCAAACAATTAGGAAGACAGAAAACCAGAGCTGTTATTAATTAGAAACTAGGAGAAACTAAGACAGGGAGGGAGACCGCTGCTGGTGCCAGGGCTGGAAGGGAGTCAGGGGAGCTCCTGACTAAGAATTAACCATGGGTTTGCAAATGCTAGTGGTGATGGCTAGGCAGTTTTGTTGCAGCCCAGTCAGAATGATTTAAGAGAGGCCTGAGATTAGTGAGGCTGTAACTCCATCTCTGACGCTAAAGCAGTGGCAGCCACATGGACAGCTATTCTGTAAGAGAAAGAACGGCATGTTCGTCTGTAGCTGGGAAAGGACAACGTGAAATGCTCACAGTGCAACATTAGCACATGATGTCCACACATAAACTCCGTGTCGCATCTGTGACTCAGAGAGGAAGATGGCGGGCAGATACGTGACTGAGAGTCCAGTGATTTCATTGGATTTACTTTGGGGTTTGTTTTGTTTTGTTTTTGTTTCCGAAGCAACAGCAGCAGCAGCTAAGAATGAGGGGAGTGTTGAAAAGAGGGTAGAATGCAAACCGGTTACCCGAGAAAGACTGGGATTGCAAATAGTCTAAAAAGCGGCCAAGCCATAGTAAGGGCCGCAGAGGTTTTTGTCCTGAGTTTACAGTTGATGTGGTGGCAGGGCTCGGGGCTTTAGCCATGTCAGAGCAGGTGGAGTGGCAGTGAGTTCAAGGGGCCAGTGAGCAAAGGGAGTGTTCTCAGTGGGTGACAGCCATGGTGGGGGATAGTGGAGACAGCCCAGTGACAAAGTCTCGAAGCTGGGAATTCTAAGAACAGAGGACAGAGTTCCGACTTAAAGCCTATAGTAAGAACCTAAGGAATACTGAAAAACGAGTTCTTTGAGAAGGTGTTAGTCATATTGATCTTTCCTGTACTGTGGATTTCTTCTCTTCCTAAATGCATCGACTATAAGGCATATGTATCAAAGTAGACGCCAGCTGTAGAGGAACATGATTCAGTGCTGGTACATGTGATGAGTCCCCACTGGTGACAATGACGCTTGAGTGAGCCTCCTTTCCGCCCTGGCCAACAACCTGTTTCTGCAGCAGACCTGACCGGTGGATCAATGCCAGCAGTTCCCTCTCAGAATCTTTGCTTTATCTTTAATCACAGTGATCATAATTTAATAAAGTAGAGTGCTTAAGGGGTAAAGTCGGTGGGAGAAACCCTCTGTACTTATGGCGGTGTTAATGTGGGCTTCTCTTTTTGCCGAAGCCAAGCATTAAAAGAACCCAAGTTTTCTCCAGTGAAGATTAACCTGTGGCACTGTGGAGGACTGTTGCCCATAATCACTGCGATCCAAAGACAGTAATAAACAGTTAACTCAAAATACTTCATTTTATGCTCTCTTGAATTTTTAGCAAAGATTTGCGGATTGTCAGACATGTCCAACAATGCTTCTATCCTTTTCAGGGGAATTTTGGTGAAGTATATAAGGGCACACTGAAGGATAAAACCGCTGTCGCTGTTAAAACATGCAAAGAAGATCTTCCTCAGGAACTAAAAATAAAGTTTCTACAGGAAGCCAAGTGAGTTCTTTAAAATAATATAAAGTTTGTGTTTGTAATTCACTGTTGATCAATCTGTTGTATTAAATTCACTGTGAGGGAAGTTTTAAAACATCTCCTGAGCTCTGATTTGCCGAGGTAGAAGTCAGCACCTCTATGCCCTTCCGGAGTGAGCACTTTCATGGTGAGGGAACAGTTTCCAGTTTGAGCTAGCCTGGAGACCAGTTAGTCAGGCATGATAGCAATGGACCATCAGTAGCGCAATTGTTCTCAAGGTCCTTAGAAGCACTGCAGCATTGTTTATTTTACTACACACGTGTTTATATGTAGTGGTGTATTCACATTTGCATAGCTCATATATACCGTTAGCTGTATTTATGTATCTTGTACTCTTTCTGGGTATTATACATTTGATTCCTTTCTCAAGAATCTCAGATTTCTTTTTCTGTTTTGTGCCTGGCATTTGTTAAAAAAAAAAATTATTTTTTAAGGTGACTTTCTTCTCTATATTATATTCTTAACTCGAATTGAATGGTCCATCTTACCTATCCCTGTTCTGCAGAGAACTAAAACTAATCTGCCTATTTATGAGCTCAATTATACCAATTGCATATTTAAAAACGAAAGTATGATTTGAGCAGGGTAAATGAAGTAGAAGTATGAGTGGGAGATGAAGGAAAGATGGGTGAGATCAGACAGCGGGGTGAGGGATCTACGCTCATGGCATGGATGTCTTCATGTACATCTCCAGTCATAGTCTAAATACGTCTGTGGCCATGGGGTAAATACTAAGTCCTTAGGTGCTGTCTGAGGGATGAAGTTGCAGTCTTCTCATGTGCATTATTGGAAATTCTGTGGACAGTCAGCAGCTGTTGAACAGTGCTTCAAAACATGTTTCTTTTAAAACTGTGATTACTTTGTGAATTAAAAGGTTTAATTTATTTTTAGCTGAAATTATGAAGTTTGATATTAGACATACAAGTTCTGTTCACTAAAGCTTATGACTGTTCCTCCATAGCCATCAGCTGTATATAGCTGGCTGTTCTGGCATCAGTTTACATCATATAGCTGTTCTGTGCAGTTTTCTTCATTACCCTCTTTCAACATTACAAATGTCATTTGGGTTTTTTGATGTTGTTGTTGTTTTGTTTTTGTTTTTGTTTTTTTTTTAAGACAGAGTTTTTCTTTGTAGCTACTTGCCTCTGCCTCATGAGTGCTGGGATTAAAGGCATTCACCACCACCGTCCAGCAACATTTTGGATTAAAGTCAAATATTCTTCAAACTTGACTTTTAATTTCTATTAGAAATTTTGCTAAGTCATTGCTAGTATTTTCTTTATCTCTAGATTTTTTTCCTAGTTTATTTTCATTTATGGATCATTATTTTAAATCTAAAATGTTGTACTTAAAGTTTGTTCTTTATTTGTGTATGCACGAAATATGTTTTTTTCTAGTTATTTTTTTTTCATTTTCATATGAAAGAATGTGTCAGTTTTCCCAGAGGAGTGAGTTATAATATCAGGGTAAAAAGGGTTCTATTCTGTTTTTAACCCATGCTTGAAGTCCTGCTAGGGGGTGTTTCCTACTGTGCACCCTCTACTGAAATACTGTGCTTTTCCAAATGACCACACCAAATGAGCCTCAGCCTCGGTTGAAACTCTTAATTGAACACTTCTATTAGGACATTTTTTAAGAACTCTTGTTTTTGCCGTCTGAAACCTCTCATGTAGTGAAGTGATGTCTGTAACATTTGCCAGCGTGGGATGATTTGAGGATGACTAGATGTTTTGAAGCAAATTCCATGTGTCGTTTCTAATTAGCCTGATTATTAAGCATCGGAGTGGGTACTAATTTTTAAAGAAGTATTTAAGGATGAACAGCTCATTTGCACTTGTGCTATGCTGCACATATTTATCAATACCTATTGATAGGCATTTAGCTTATCAGTATTTTCAAGTCATACTGATATTTTAAAAATTGAGTTATGATTAAAGTTTATTCTAATTGCACACATTATGGTAATGATCATAAATAAACTTTGTTTTATTTAACTGATAAACGTATATACTTTTTTCACATCTAGAATTCTCAAGCAATATGATCACCCCAATATTGTCAAACTTATAGGCGTGTGCACACAAAGACAGCCTGTCTACATCATTATGGAACTGGTCCCAGGTAATGTTATTTGAGCGATTTACTTGATGACATTTTAATATCATGTTTTATTGCATTTTTATGTTCAGTCTCTGATATTTCCTTGTAAACTTTTCAAGGAGTTTTGTATGATATTTTTCTGATAACAAAGCCTACAAAAAATGCTCAATATTTTTATAGCTTCTTGAAAAGCCAACATTTTTGAGACAGATTTATTAGACTGTAGTTACACATGGAATTCAGTTATATATAATGTTTATGTGTAAAAGGGTGCTTAGAAAAACTGAGCACTAGTGTGACTTGATAGCACTGCAGGAACCATCTTCTGTTTTGTCCTTGTCTGTCATTTTGAAATCCATCTCCACGGCCACTCGTGAACCATGTGTTGTGTTCATGTGTGGCTAACTCAAGGCTGGGGATCTTCTCAGGACACTTTCATACCTCTAGCTCTTTAACAATTTACAGGGACAAACATGGGCAACCTCAAGCTGACATGGTCTGTTTAAGGTTTTTCTTGGTTCTCTTTCTTCTTGTTTTGGACAATTACAGAGATAAACAGTTTACAGTGCTTCATAACCCAAAAGTGTTTGCTTGGCCCTTTTAGTATCTACCTCACTTATTTTAAAAGAAGAAATTTAAAAAATTTTAAAAAAGGAATTTGAAAATTATTTGTAACTGTAACCCAGTTCTGTAGATTCCCTGGTCAATGCGGCCTGTAGAGTGCGTCCACTGGTTTGGGCTAGCATCCTGTCTTTTCACACTACTTAGTCTGCTGCTGAAATACTCCATCTGTTAACATAACTGCAGCACACATGGATTCTCACTAACTTAATCAAAATGGAACTGTCTGTGATCTGGACGTGAACAAGCACATTCTGAAAACTTAGGAACGGTTGAGTAGCGTAGAGTTATTATTAGAATAGGATGTTTAAGCATAAATGCATGCTGATATTTGTGTAGGTACAGAGGAAGCTCTTGGTTAGCAAGAAATGCTACCAAAAAAAAAAAAGCCTAGATTTGGGAGTAGGCCAAACTTGAAGAAAAGTAACTCATTAGCATGGGTGCCAGGTTCAGATGGCAAACATGAGCTGGATAAAGCCCAAGAGAGTTGTGTACACTAGCCAGACACACGTATGGCGGTGCAATGGCGAGTACACGCTGCTGTTCTGTACGCGTTATGAAAGGGAACGCCTTCGAGGCAGCAGGCTGTGGTCTTTCTGTGCCACGGCGTTGCTCGGGTCTTGACTTTTTCTGTTCATTTGACTTGTGATTGTTTCCTAATTACCAGCCATTTCTACCCGTCTGCTGGCATAACTGTAAAGCATTCCCCTTGGTAAAATTTATGTGGTTTATCTGATCAGTATTTTAGCATATTTTCTTTGCTTGTTTCCTTTTTCTTTTCTTTTCTCTCTTCACTTTGCACTTTCCACTCCTGTGGACTTCCTTGGAGATAAAATTCAGCAGTATGATTCATTCAACTTAATGCCTGCTTTGATTGACAAGTGTGTAGCTCGTAATAAACGCCTATCGTCTAGGAGCTTAAAGTAACTCCTTTATTACCTCACCGTAGTGTCCATTAGAAGTTGAATCTTGACTGGAGTTTCTCAAGCCTTTTTTAAAATGTGAGGCCTAGCTCTCATCTGGGGACTTTTGGGGCTGATCTCCTATCAGGATTGCTCCGGTATTGGCAGACTCCTGTCCTGTCTGTATGACCTGGGGTTCCCACGTTTGGCCTGCCAGATACTCCATGGGTATTAGATTTCTCAGATTTACATTTTCTTTACCTGCTGGGGATTTGTTGTGATGAGACTGAATCCACTTAGATAATCGCCCTGGAAGAAGGTCAGCTCTGCCATCTGACTGAACATATGTATGAGAGCCATATCTAATGTTCATAGTATCCCGGGATCAAGATGGGGCATGTGTGCGACACCATCTTTCTGTCCTGCCTACCACGGTAGATTTTGCTACATTTTCTAAAAAATTAGTTTTGTTGTGGAATCTAAAACCCTATTAATGAGCTTTCCTTGCAAGTTTATATTAAGCCCATTGGTTGATATGCAATTAAAATGTGTCTTTTGTCCATGCATGATTCTGCAGCATGATTGAGTCATTTGGAGAATATCAGGTCATTAGCATATACAGATCTTTCTAATAGTGATACAGTTCATTATATAATATCCAGGGAGCACATTCATTAATGTCACATATAATCTCATTAGGAAAGTAATGGGGACACTCTCAGGCTCATAGTAACAAAAGCATGTTTTCTAAAATTTTAATTTTAATTTGAAAGATTTTTTTTTATCCCTGGCCATAAAACTTATTAGGCTTTTTCTTTAAAGAGTGAAGCTCACTTTACTTTTGAGAAAATAACAGCCAAACATCTTCACTTCTTATAACCATGATTTTTTTCTTTCCTTTCTTTTAAAAAACTGACTCAATGGGATATGTTTGATGCACAGACTAGTGTGTATAAAGTATTTATTTATTGACATGTATATAATTCTTTGAACCCTTTACCCCAACAAGGCAGTGGACACATCTGACACCCTCCTATTCTGTATTCTCCCTGTGGTTCCTCCCTGGCTTTTCTGGAGCACCCCAATCAGCCACTGGCACACTGCCTGTTCTGTTGGTTAGCATTTCTTAAACCTTTGTGAAAATAGCATCACATAGCATATATTTATTCTTTTTTCTAAAGTCTTGTTCTTAGAATAATTGTGAGATTAATTTAATTTTATGTTTTACTTTTACTTAGTGTACAAAGTAATGTTTTTTGTGTGACATTTTTCTACGTATTGTTGTACTTTGCTTATATTCGTCCCTTTCTCTTCCCTGCCCTTGGCCATTCTTCATTGGTCCCTTCATTCTCCTAAATAGCTTTTCTCCAGCTTTGTGTGTCGTGTGTGTGTGTGTGTGTGTGTGTATGATACGTTTGCCTAACATTTTACAGTTGCCAATAGTTTGATTGATGGCTGTCATTTGTTCTACCCATGTTACTATTGTATCCATTTCAAACAAGGTTAATAACTGCTTTGCAACTGTCCAGTGTGCAAACCATTTCTGAAATGTATCTGCAAAGATTTCAGTGGCCCTGCCCTTGTCAGAGAAATAATCCCTCTGGAATCGTAAAGCCAAATATGTATTTGAGAATTCCAGTTTAAAGTGAATATTCCAAGATGACCCTGTCTTCATTTACATTGTCTCTTGAGTTATGAATACTTTACCTACTTGCTTCCTGATTGTTGGGTAAATACAACTGAAGGTCAGTTCTAAATAGCAGTGGGGAGCAACAACAGGAGCAGGACGGCTTTTCCATAAGATGACCCCTGTAGTGGGAGCTGCGGGCTACATTCCTGCCACCCGGCTCTCGGCCGCCTGGCTAGCTTATGCCCCAAAATAATTACACGAAAACTGTATTCTTTTAAACACTGCTTGGCCCATTATTTCTAGCCTCTTAGTGGATAATTCTCACATCTTGCCTAACCCATATTCAGTAATCTGTGTAGCACCAGTCTTACCAGGAAGATTCAGCATGTCTGACCTGGCGGCGTGCTTCATTGTGTCTGCCCTGGAGAAAAGGAGCGGCATGGCATCTTCCTCACGTCCTCTTTCTCCCAGCATTCTGTTCTGTTTATTCCACCCACCTGTGTTCTAACCTATCAGGCCAAGCAGTTTCTTTATTAATTAACCAATGAAATCAACAGATTGATATATGACACTCCCACATCAGACCCCCATTTCGCAACTCAAATGAAAACATGGGTTTCATTTGGTTTTTGACAAATGATGGACTTAAGGCATGCTATAGAGTCCAGGCAGCTGTTGCTTGTTTGTCTGGTCAGATATGCACTGCCAGAGAGCACAGCAGGCATCAGCTCTAACACTGGATGACCAAGTACAACAGTTTAGGAAGGCCTAAAGGTTTCTTCACTGGAGTTTGGCAGCTACTCCTTCTCTTGAATTCATATCTTCCTGAAGTGAGGGAATATTGGTTCTCAGGTCACACAGAAACTTGGCCTTTGACAAATTCACAAAGTTAACTAAATATAAAGATGACTTACACCTTTAATACTCTTAGGATTATTGTAGAGTTTTATGAAGGTTTTGGATATCATAAAAATATATCTGAGTTTAATAGTATGATTTAAAAGACAAAAGTGAGTTCATTCCATTTCTTTCATCTGAGTATTTGGAGTTAGGAATTCAGACACGGTTATTAACATCCATCTCATAAGCACCTCTGAACTTCTGTAGAAACCTTTCAGTTGCCAGAATTCTTCCTTTTAATTAGTCTGCTCTCTAATTTCTGCAACTAAGTTTCAGTACATTTTTTTTGCCAAAGGAGTAAATTATTTTAAAAACTAAGAATTTTACTCTCCTTCATGTTGAACTTTAATGTTTTCATTTGATTTTAACAGTATCAGTTTCAGTCATGTGACCTCATGGGTATGAAGTCAGCTGAGAAATCCCTGGCACTGACAGCTGCAGGTTACTTGGTAACTAGGTCCTGACATCTGTTTCTTCCTCTCTTCATAGAGAAAGGGCAAACCCAGCTGACAAGGACTAAGGAGCGTGGCTCCTGACTCGCTAAGAGAGAGCTGAAAGTATGAAGAGACGTTGCCTTACATAAAGTTGCCAGTTAAATATCACTCCTCAGTAGTCAAGAAAAAGGACAGGAAAGTAATTCTCAAATTAATGTTCATACAAAACTTGTAGTTGGTCTATATGGTTTAATTTTTTGGTGTTTTGAGATAGGGTTTCCCCATGTAGCCCTGGCAAGCCTAGTACTCGTTTTGTAGATCAAATTGACCTCATACTCACTAACACATGCCTGCTTCTGCCTCTGCCTCTAGAGTGCTGGAATTATAGGCATAAGCTACCATATTGGTATGAAGTTTTTAATGTTACAAATAAACAAAATCCTAATTCAGTGGAATTTGTTTTATGTTTTTTTTTGTATATGGTAGAATAAATTTGATAATCTATGTTAATATAAACTGGTTCACTGAAGATTT